CGCCTTCTTTCCTTTCCAATTACCCCTTATACGTTCCGACTGGGCTAATAGGCGTGAATTTACATATCTTATGTCTTTATGGTATGCTTTTTAATTTCACTATACATTCTGGTCTATTGAGACAACTTTGAGAGTTTAATTCTTTGTTATTAATATCCAGTTAAAATATGTCTATTTTGTCAAAAATATAATGCCTTTATGGCATAATGATATATTTAATCTTTCTATACCATTTAATTTTATACGTCTATCATATGATATCTCGCACATCCCTGTACGTTAAGCCGTGTAGGATCACATACTCAAGACCTTTAGAGTTCATCTTCATGTATAATCTTTCTATAGATTTGCACCTCTTGCCTTCTTTCCTTTTCAACGACCCCTCGTATGTTACGATCGGACCAATAGGCGTAAATATACATATCTAATGTCTTTATGGTATGCTATTTAATTTCACTATACATTCTAGTCTATTGAGACAGTTTTGAGAGTTTAATTCTTTGTTATTAATATCCAGTTAAAATATGTCTATTTTGTTAAAAATCCAATGCCTTTATGGCATAATGATATGTTTAATCTTCCTATACCATTTAATTTTATACGTCTATCATATGATATCTCGCACATCCCAGTACGTTAAGCCGTGTAGGATCACATACCTAAGACCTTTATAGTTTCATCTTCACGTATAACTTTTTTATAGATTTGTACCTATCGCCTTCTTTCCTTTCCGACGACGCCTTATATGTTACGATCGGACCAATAGGCGTAAATATACATATCTAATGCCTTTATGGTATGATATGATGTTTCATTTTTCTATACCATTCAATTCTATTCGTCTATCACATGTTATCTTGCTCATGCCTCTACGTTCAGCCGTTTAGACACTACATACCTACAATCGTTATTGTCCATGACTCTTCGGAAAAAGAAGAAGAATTGGCAGTTGCGGAAAGAATAACATTGGACTAAAAATGGCGAATGTTTGGCGGCGCCAACTAGCGGATAGCTGAAGTATGACAGTCGGTGATGTAGATTCCTTTGTTTAAAATTTTTAATTTATTTAATATTTTAATTTAAAATTGGATTAAAAATGGCGGCGCCACCTAGCGGACAATAGTTCAATTACGTAGAGGAGATTCCTTCGACGTGACATCATCTATCTCACTCTTACTCACTAAAAGATCCTTCTCTCTCTAACACATTGTTTTCCCTATGTCTATAGTGAGGCCCGCCTTGGTTATCTACTGTCTTTGCTAAGAGACGCTAATTGTATCCGAACGTCTGCGGTCCCTCCGGTAAACTTTTTATTAAAGTAATATTATGTTGGAAGTTCAAAATTATATGATAATATATTCAGTAAATAAGATCTTCTTCTTCTTCAGCCTTAGTAATCCAACTTTTAACATAGGCCTCTCCTTAATCAATCCAGTGTTTTCTATTTTCCGCCACTTGGTTCCAGTTGTGTCCTTCTATCTTCTTAATGTCATCAGCCCATCTCATTTGTGGTCTACCTTGGCTTCTCTTCCTTAACCATAGTCTCCCTTGTTGTACTTAGTGGTTCCATGATTTATTCTTCAGTCGGGCAGTAAATAAGATAATTGTACACAATTTTCAAAAAATAAATTAAAAAGTTTCGGATCCGGTTTTGTGCACCGTGTGCGAGTATTTGATCACAGAAAATTGGCGCGAGTAACGAAAGGTTAAGTACGTAACTTTTAGAGTGACTATTGTTTCATTTACTGCTGTCCATGTTTTAAAGGTTTTTGTCCATTTTTAGTATTTCAATAGCTCTTGTTTTTGCTTGTCTACTTTTATCCATTCCGCTATAAAATAGAAGGTCGTGTTTTATTTAATTACCAAGATAGTTTTTCTTGGTTAGCTTAGTACTGTGATCTTCATTTTGCACTTATAAAGATTATCGAACATTTTTATTTCTATTTGTTCTTTTCCATAGCCTAAGTGGTCATCTTTTAGTTCTTGTCAAGTTCCGAGGCTTTGCGATCAGATTTTTAACAATTTAAAAAAAAATTGTGTATCGTGAGAAGCTAGCTCAGTGCTCCAACCTCCACTCCTAGTACGTAATGTTTCGCCTTGGTTTCCTTCCTATTAAACAGTTGTCTTTTACGCAGCTTTGGACTTCTTTTTAACCTTGGTTTAATTTCAGAGTTTTCTTAACCCTTCCTACAATTATTCTTCTTCTTCTTTTGGTGCCTATTTGTTTCGAATATTGGCGATCATTCTGGGTATAATTATTTTATAAACTGATGCTTTAAAAATATTAAGTGTTTTGTAGTGAACCATTTCCTCAGATTTTTTAACCATGATAATCTTCTCGCTTACAATTTCTCGCTTTCTAAATACTTTGCATTGAAGGATTATTTTCAGTAATCTGTATTTACTGCCGTTTCTTATTATGTATCCAAGATATTCTAACTTTCTCCTTTTAATCGCATACATCACTTCCCTTTCTTTCCCATTCTTCGTAGTACAGTCTTGTTGGTTATCTTGTCCGTCCATGATATCCTTAGGATTCTTCTGTATAGCCACATCTCGAAGGCTTCAAGTTTTTTCTCCATCGCTTCAGTGAGTGTATAGGATTTAACTCCGTAATATAATATCGAGAAGATATACCATCGTAGGAGCCTTACTTTTATCTCCAGATTAAGGTTGTTTCTTTTAAAGAGTTTTTCCATGTTGTTAAATGTACTCCGAGCCTTCTCTAATCTATATTTTACTTCTTGTGAGTGATCCCATTGTTCGTTTACTATTGTTTCAAGATAGGTAAACTCCTTTGCTCAATCTTCTTCTTAGAGTGCCGTCTCCCTACGGAGGTTGGCAATCATAATGGTTATTTTTTATTTTAGAACTTGCTGCTCTAAACAAATCAATCGATCTGCATTGTTACCAATCACGTAGATTCTTTAACCATGAGTTCTGCCTTCGGCCAACAGATCTTCTTCCTTGAATCTTTCCCTGTATTATCAGTCTCAAAATTTCATATTTTGGTCCCCTCATCACGTGGCCTAGGTATTCCAGTTTTCTGGTTTGTATAGTGGTGATTAGTTCTGTTTCTTTACCAACCCTCTCCAGTACTTCTTTATTTGTAATTCTATCAGTCCATGATATTTTCAATACTCTGCGGTATAACCAGAGTTCGAAGGCCTCGATTCTTTTTAAATACATTTTTTTAATGTCCAAGTCTCAGCTCCATATAATAATATTGAAAATATATAACAGCGAATGGTACGTAGTCTGATCTCCAAATTTAGATTTTTGCACGTTAGGAGTGGCTTCATTCGTATAAATGCTGATGTGGCAATCTCTATTCGTCTGTTTATTTCTACAGTATGATCATTGGTTTCACTGATCAAAGTTCCCAAATACTGATATTTTTCTACTTGTTCTATCACGTTACCATTTATTGTCAATAGGTGATGTATATTTTGTGGCCTTTTTGTAATCAGCATGTACTTCGTTTTTTTAGCGTTTATAGTAATTCTCATCTCAGCACTATTTATACTCAAGCTTTCGATAAGATGTTGTAGATCCTCTATACTCGTTGCTATGATCACAGTGTCGTCTGCATATCTTAAATTATTAATTAATTTTCCATTAACGGTGACTCCCGCTTCGATATTATTGAGCGTGTTTTGGAAAATTTCTTCAGAATATAAGTTAAACAAAAGTGGTGATAACACACATCCTTGTCTAACTCCTCTACAGATCCTCATTTCTTCTGAGTGTTGCCCATCAATTTGAACTATGGCACTTTGGTTCCAATATAATGTTTGCACTATATTTATTATTTTACTGTCAATGCGCTTGTTCATAAGTATTGATATTAATTTTTCATGTCTTACTTTATCGAAAGCTTTTTCGTAGTCAACGAAGCACAAGTGTAGATCAACATTTATATCCCGACATCGCTGAATTAATATGTTGATGGCAAATAGTCCTTCTCGAGTACCCATTCCATTTCGGAACCCGAACTGCGTCTCGCTAATATCTTCCTCTAGCCTTTCGTATATTCGCTTATGTATTATTTTTAGCAGAACTTTTAAAGTATGACTCATGAGGCTCAGCGTTCGATAATCAGAGCACTCTTTTGCTGCTTGTTTTTTAGGGATGGTTATAAATGCTGACTTTAGCCACTCCTGTGGTATTATTCCCGTATCGTACACCGTGTTGAATAAATCTGCCAATACTTCTAAGTTGTCCTCTTCCACTAGTTTTAAGAGTTCTACTGGTATTTCGTCTAATCCAGCTGCCTTATTGTTTTTAGAGTTTGGTTTTGCTCAATGCACTGGTGTATTCTTGATAAGCAGTTGGACGTCTTTATTTTTGCTGCAGACCATAAATTTAGTTTTTAATGTGTTTATTGTAGTCCAAAAGTTTCACTTACTTCATTAACTTTGTTTATTAGTTGCTCTAAACTGTTGAAACTGTCTGAAAAAATAACGGTGTCATCTTATTATTATACAACAATAATTTTGTTATAATCTTCTTGTTGTGCCTATCTGATGGAAATGTTAGCGATCCTCATGGCGATTTTTTATTTGTTTACACCTGCTAATCCCGTCGTTTTCATGCTGTTTCATCTAGTTTTTCAAGATCCCTCGTATCTTAACTAAAATGGTGAAAGCAACAATCTATTCAAGCGATATAAAGGTATAATTTTACTTAATGAACCAATAAATTTAATAAATAAACAATAAGGAAAAATAGGCAAAATAAATGTAATAGTTTTAAATGTTTTGCGTGTGAATTTACCAACAAAACGAATTGATTAATAACAAATAACGTTGCAAGCAACCGCTGATAGTTTTTAATTTACCGCTAAATGAATTTTGATGACATAATTTGAATGAAACGGTTATTTGATTTTTTCATAATATATCGAGGATGGAAGTGGTATATAAAACGAATCAAATGGTGCTATTGCATTTGATGTTGTGTCATTTTGGAAGCTGGAATCAACGGAGACGTACGGCTTGATGAAGCCCCTTTTTCTATTGTGTTTCTTTACGATAACAAGCGCCCGACATGTGACTCATAGTGAAGTGATTTCCAATTTTGTGTCTCGTGAATCTTTCGAGGATTTGGCAGTGTCAGCGGCGGAACCACGACCAGTTGTCGTTGAGTATTACCCCTCAGAAGTTTTGCCTTTAACAGCAGACCAACATGCTTTCAGTGATTCCGAGGTTAGTCAAGCTAGTGAAAAAGTAGAAAAAATACTACAAAGACCTATATCATTTTCTTATCAAAACAACAATGACCAAACTTCGGATGCATCAGAAGTGTCAGAGGAAGAAGACGATGAAAAGGAAGCTGAAGTAACGGAAGTGGATCAGAAACCGGACGCTGTCGACTATTATAAATATGTGAAAAATATCGAATCGACAGAAAGTGACGAAGGTGCTGGAAACGAAGAAAACAAAAACGAAAAAACTGAAAATGAAGAAAACAGAGAAAATGAAAACGAAGAAAGCGAAGAAGTAATTGCTGAAACTAGTGACCACGAAGATATCAAAAATGATGATAACAAAGAAGATAATACAGCTGAAGACACTGTATCTGAAGACAACGCATCCGAACCCTATGAAGTACATGAAAGCAAAAAGGGAAAGACAGGAGGAGGTCATGGAGGCGGTGGCGGCGGCGGCGGTCATGGTCATAAAGGAGGTGGAGGTGGTCATGGTGGCGGTGGAGGTGGAGGCCATGGAGGCGGAGGTAAATAATTTTAATTTTTTATTATACCATAGACTATTACCTTGTTCATTTGTTTTGTATTAAAAAAATATACATAACAATGAAGTTTTGCGCATAATCACCTAAGAAGTGACAAAATGGCAAGACCTTTACCAGTTGGAAATTTTTATCCAGTAGGTATACAAATCTTTTTTCTATCGTGCCTTTAGTATATTTTTTTTCGCTTTCTGCCCAACGAAGTCTAATGCAAAATATACCTCTTGATATATTCGGAAAAGTTTTACCACTATTAATATTATCTGTTGAAAGTTTATTCAGTGTAGGTATTTTATTTTGAAGACTGTCCATATACATGTGTAATACTACAGTCTTTAAATGCACTTTTAAATAAGAGCCATGAATGAATGAAAAGAATGTATGCCATTCTTGTTGCACAAATGCGCTTAATATCTTTTATATAGCTTTACATGAAAACAATCACTAGAGACACAAAATAACCATGAAATAGAGCACTGTCATATAAAAACCACATTCTTGTTGCAGTAGTTAAGGTAAACGGTTATTCAGAAAATCCAGATATATAGCATCATCTACAAGGCCGTCAAAAGAATGTGAGCCAATCACATAGCCCCCAATAATACCACCCAAACATTTATAGATCATCTAGTTTGACTATGACTGTTAATAAAGCAGTGATTTCTTGATGCATTTTTGTGAAATTTAGCCTGATCTCCAAAAAGCATATAATCAAAAAAAAATAGGTCGCTTTGCACTTACTGCTGAGACTATTATTTACAAAAGGCTAATGTTTGATAGTAATCATCTACTGTCAATTCTTGACATAATATTGTACACGCTAGGAATGCATTTTATGCTTACGGAGGATTTTTGTCGCCAAAATTTGACTAATGTCATGTTGAAATGAAATTTTACGAGTGCTGATGTGGGGTTCATCAGTAGTAGCTAACAGTACATTATATTTCTTTTTTTTTTTTCACTTGTAACAGTTTTGTTTCTCCCATTTTTTTTATATGCAACTCACTTAGTGCGAACAAAACCATTTATTAACTTTTCTAAAGCTCCTAAGTTTGGCTTCCTTCGTTCAGGATATCGCTGTTGGTATATAACTTTCTCCTGATACCCACATCATATCTGTTAATTTTTCTACAGAAAAATTAATTTTTTAAATAAAGACCAGCCACACAGACTGATTAAAAAGTAATAATATGAAAAGTGTCATTTTTTCAAAGCCTACTGTTTTAACAATGTTAATTAATATAAGTGGCCTTTTACTTATTAATACTTGCTCGTCACAAACGATAGTTTGTCGATTGTAACCGGGATTGAAAAAAGCCACAGGATGAAGAAGAATATCCTGGCTTGCTAACCTAAGAGCATGGTATAAAAAGACCTCAACACAGCTATTTCGTATAGCGACCAACAAAGTCATCATAGCCAGAATGATCGCCAACGTTCGAAACGGACAGGCACCCTAAGAAGAGGAATTGTGATGAATGTTTTAGTAAAAACTGTTAGACTTATTGCATATTGTGAATTATGTTTTGTATTAGTTATTTATTGAATACGAATAATATTGTTATATTAATACACAAGAATATGTTATTTGTACTTACAGAATTTAAAAGTATTCGCATTTTTATGCGTTTTCCTGCTGCATAGAGACTTTTCCATTTACCTATTCTAACTGTGTTCTTCAAATTCTTTAGAAGTGTTAATTTACGTTTAAACGGTAGGAATTTTGTGTGATAACGACCGAGGATGTCCCATATTCTGATATTGTATGTCCTCCTTTCCCGGATCTTGACTTCCGAGGACCATGATCAATAACATTTTCTTAGCTGTGAAGCTCCATGTTAATACTCGGGAAAATTAATTGGGGTGGTTTTAGCGTTGCCTTTACCAATGACTTTTCTTTCTTGTTAGATTTACTTCCAATGTACTTTTTGGAACAAAAACACGATACATTTAATATTCAGGTAAATAAAAGCAAAACAAACAGCTGGTGTTAAAAAATCCAACACAGCTGCAAGATCAACAGGGGAACGTCATCTCCCCAATGATTGGAATACTTTGCACCATACACAAAAAATGAGATATCTTTGAATGCTCTAACCACAGATAAATTACGCTTTTAAATGCAGCGTATAAAATATTTTTCACAGTTTATGTGACCATATGGTACCATATGCGGAATGGATAGTAGAAAAATACCAGGCTAGTTTTAGAAGGGGTGAATCGACAATTCATCAGATTGCAACCCTAAAACAAATTTTGGAAAAAATACTGAAATATACATTGATACTCGTCACATATTTATAGACTACAAAGCAGCCTACGACTCAGTGAATAGAAGAGAAATGTTCAAAGCAATGAAAGAGCTAGGAATACCAAATCAGTTGGTAAATTTAACAAAACTGACTTGAAAAAGTTAAATGTAGAGTACGAATTCGGGGGGAACTTTCTAAAATTTTTAAAACAAATAACGGACTGCGCCAGGTAGACCCTCTCTCCTGTATACTGTTCACTATGGCTCTGCAAGAAGTTATACGTATGTTACAAATCACAACCACTTAGTTCAATATATAATAAACCATTGCAAATCCTGGCCTATGCTGATGATATTAATATTGTTGAGAGAACCGAAAACTCTGTATGAGAGGCGTATATAGCATTAAAAAAATCAGCTACAAAAATGGGTTTAATAATAAACGCCAACAAAACAAACTATATGAAAATAAGCACGCAACCACAATTCCTACGACCACTTGTTATAGACAACGACGTTCGAAAACCAACTGCGAATTTTATAGAATATATCAGAAACCTGATATCGAAAAACATATTAAGATAGGACGTTTGAGGTAAATAGGGCATATAATGCTGATGTAACAAAATGACCCAGCTAGAAAACACTCCTCGATAGACCCATTGGCCAGAGAAGAAGAGGAAGACTCAGACCAAGGTTCTTTGATAACATTGATGAAGACATGAGAAAAATGGGAATACGTGCTTAGCGAAGAAATCTGTTGTTTATATATCACGTCCGCGGATGCGTCCGTAAGATATCCGATTTTTTTCGGTTTTTTTAGCACAGATTAAAGGGTTTCGGTGCAGACATCTGACGCCTTTCCATTTTTTAATGCTCGCGTAGATATTGCGTCTCCCGGGAATTAACACAAACTGAACGATTTACAGATATGTCCAGATGTGTGGTCAGCTTGTACTGATACATCTGCAGGTGCGTCCGTAGACGCGTCTGCCAATGTGTAGTGGAGGCATTAGTCTGACCTCAAAGGAAGCGTGATATAATTTTTCAAACATTATTATTGCATCATCCATACGATCGGCTATAAGGACGATGTCATCTGCAAATCTCAAATTGAAGTAATAGTACTAAAGTAATTCCCGCTCTTGGTATTTTAAAATAAAATTTCCTTTAATATCATAATTAAATACATGTTTTTGTATATGGTGAAGTTAGGAAAAATTTACAATATAATCTCAATATGATTCATTTGGCATGTTAAGCCCATGATAATAATAGGGTTGCTGAAGAAATTAGAACAAACTTTCCTCATTTTTGATTTAATTTCGAGAGTAAGACATTAAGAGTTCAACTGTATAAAGACAGGCTTTCTAAGAGACACGTTCACAACCAGTGCTGAAAAGATGGGAAACTTGGTAGAGGCTTTATTTTTTTACGCCGACCATTTTACGGCGACATTAAAAGTTTAATTTTTGAGTTTTCTGATCAACAGTATAGCAATTTCTTCTGTTTATCGAACATTTAAAAATGAAATCGATAAACAACAAAGCAAAGTCCTTTAGTAGAAACATTTATTTCTTCTTGTGAAACGTTAAGGGAACAATTGGAGCGCAAATTTTACGAAAATTAAATAATACCAAAATTATTGACAAAAATGTAGAATTTATCACGGTTCTTCAAGTGGCACATATTTTCCGAAAAAAAATTTAGGAAGAAACCAATATGGATCAATGCCTCTTAGACAACCTAAAATCACATCAGTTGATATCGAAAGAAGTTTTTCTATTTATAAATACTTATACTAAATACTTTTATTAATTTCTGACAGAAAACATAAATTTTTAATAGAAAATTTTGAGAAACATTTAATTGTCTACTGTTTTTACGAGAAATCTGAAGTATATAAAGTAAAATAATTATTATTAAACCCATTTAATATGATAAATATACTTTAAAATTCATAGTGTGTTTGTTGAATTTATGTTGAATTTTTTTTGCCTATTGACAAAAATCGATTTTGTTGCATCTTCTTCGTCTTTATGTGCCATCTCCACGACGAAGGTTGGAAATCATCACTGCTATTCTAACTTTTGACATTACAAACCAAAAGAGTTCAGTTGAGCTGCATTCAAACCATTCTATGAGGTTTCTCAGCCAGGACATTCTTCTTCTACCTATGCTGCACTTTCCTTGAATCTTTCCCTGCATTATAACATAAACTTTGTTGCATATTATTGACAAACAGTCTCGTTCAAACCTTCGTGTTAGAAACAAGCATCGAAGAAGTACCTGTGTATACTTATCTTTTTGTAATTAGTGCCTATAGTTAGTATATTATATGGCCTATAGCCATTCGTTATCAAGAAATATAAAAACAATAACCGAAAAAAGTGTTTGTGTTCAATGTTGTTATAATTATTCAACAAGGAACTAAAACAAACTTAATTACTACATTTATTAACGTAAATATAAATAAAATAGTCTGGTATATTAACAAAATATGCCGGAATGTTTTAATAATTCCAAGTTGTAATTAGTGGAAAACTATGGATCACCAACTAGATAACTAAGATCCAACTAGTTATCAACGTATTAAGGACATAAATCCAGCCATTAGACAATCCTGCCTAGCCCGTACTCCTCCACCTGGAAGAAATCGAAAAGACAATTACAACTTACTAAATGAACAGCAGAAAAAATTAAAACACGCAACAACGATCTACATAAAAATTTATCAAACTTTTAAATAGAGAAACCACAAAAAAATTTCACAGATGCAGATGAGGTAAAAAGTGATAGTGAATGGGTATCAGCCCACTACAAGAGACGGCAACGCAACGATGATAGTCCTGAATTGAAAAACACCAAACAAGCTACTCTCAAAGATTATTGGCTAAGTAAAACTGGTCTTGCATCTAACAGATACGAGGCACTTGAAAATGTTAAACCTAGTGAAGAGGTTGAAATTCTGGAAGACCAAAAAGGTGAACAGCCACCACCTATATTTATACAAAATGTCGAGTGTATCAAACCGTTACAGGAATTACTACAGCAGATAACTTCAGGTAAATATACTTTAAAATATCTTGCTAACAACCAAATTAAAGTTCAAGCTGACTCATCCAAACACGATTCATTAATTGTAAAATCTTTAGCAGAAAAAAATACTCAGTACCATACATACCAATTAAAACAAAACCGGGGATTCCGAGTTGTTATACGTAATTTACATTCTTCAACAGATCCAGATGACATTAAAAAAGCGTTGCTTGTGCACGGACTGTTCAATGTTTACTCTGAGAAGATATTTCAGAAAGCTTTGGAAGGCACCTCGGATGGTATAATTATAAACGGGCAATGTATAAATAACCTGAGATATGCTGATGACACTGTCATACTGGCAGATAATGCTGAAGCCCTGCAACGCTTAATGGACCGAGTAACGACAGCCTGTAGAGAATTTGGAATGAAATTGAATACAAAGACGACAAAAACGATGGTCATCAGCAAGCACCAAAACAGAAGGGTGAAGGTCAATGTCGACGGAACAAATCTGGAAAGAGTAACAAGAACAACGTACCTTGGAAGTAATCTTGATGAAACTTGGGACCACTCACTAGAGATAAGAATACGCCTGGAAAAGGCACGTACAATGTTTTACAAAATGCAAAAAGTTCTATGCAACCGCCAGCTGGGCATCTCATTGAGAACTAGAATACTTAAGTGCTATGTTTTCTCCACCTTGCTCTATGGTGTTGAAGCCTGGAAAATGACAGAAGCAACACAAAAAAGAATCCAAGCATTCGAACTCTGGTGTTACCGTAAAATGCTCAGAATATCCTACATGAGAGAAAGAGAGCTCATGCTTATAATAAAAGAACGGAAAACACAATATTTTGGTCACATCATAAGAAATCAAAAGTATGAACTGCTCCAACTTATAATCGAAGGCAAAGTCAATAGCAAAAGAGGACTAGGAAGAAGACGCAACTCTTGGCTTAAAAACCTACGGCAATGGACGAACATGACTTCCATAGAACTATTCAGGGCTGCTACAAATAAGATTAAATGGGCAAATGTAATGGCCAACGTCCTTAAGGATAAGGCACCGTAAGAAGTGCACGGACATACAGCCCTGAACATCTGCAACATTAAGCAAAGAGCCCCTAAGAAAGATCTGCCACTATTTAATATAGAACTGGCCATTCAAAGTAATAATAAAGATATATATATATTATATATATATATAATATATATATATATATATATATATATGACAAAATTACACTCAACTCTATTGTCACAGTTGAGCCACCGCATCCGAAAAGGGAACTACCCCAATGTCCAAGATGTCAGCATTTTGGCCATACACACAATTATTGCCACAGAAGTACGCGCTGTGTAAAATGCGTGAGCGACCATTTATCATCTCAATGACCAAAACAAAAATACATAAAAGATGTTCAATGTGTAAATTATCTAGAAAATCATCCTGCCAGCTATAAGGGGTGTTCTGTATACAAAGAGATCCAGAAAAAAAATTTCCAACGCTCAGAGAAAAAAATGCAAGTCAACGACCTCGTGCAGTAAATCCTTCAATCACTCAACCAACCATCAGCTATGCGAAAATTGTTGCAGGAAGAGATAATAGAAATACATCTACCTTAGATGAGACTTCTCATGCAATAGAAACAACAACTCCTCAACATATACAAAATAATCTAGAACTACTAGTACATAAGTTAATGGAAATAATGGATAAGATGTTTGATCTCATAATGTCTGTGATGTTTATCTGAGTCCTATCCTGCTCAGATAAATTCACTCATATTGGATAAAAGAAAACTGCGAAAGAGGTGGCAGCTCACTAGGCATCCAGGAGATAAAGCAAACCTTAATAGAGCTTGCACACTACTCAAAAGAAAACTGATCCAACATAAAGACAATGGAATCAACAAATATTTAAAGAACCTCTCACCTGCATATGATACAGACTATTCGCTGTGGAAACTAACAAAAAAACTTAAAAACACAACGAACAAATGAATATGCCAATCAGGAAACAAAACGGCACTTGGGCTAAAACTGACATAGATAAAGCATATACTTTTCCAAATTATTATCTATGTGAGGTATTTCAACCGCATCAGAGAGAAGTCTCAGTTGAAGAAGAGCAGGCTATTCATGAAGTCGTAAATGCACCATATCAAATGGCTCCACCTATTAAATGTATTAAGAAATCTGAAATCAAAGAAATAATTGATAATCTGGAAATTAAAAAGTCACCTTAATATGACTTAATATCTAGTTTAGTACTAAAAAATCTACCCAACGAAGGCGTAAGTTTAATTACTTACGTATTTGATTCAATATTAAAAACAGGTTATTTTCCGTTCCAATGAAAAGTTGCTCAAATTATTTTTATTCCAAAACCTAATAAGGATCACACGGAAGTTTCTTCATATCGCCCAATTAGCTTGTTGCCTATTATATCCAAAGTATTTGAACGGCTTTTTCTGAGAAGACTGGAGCTTATTTTATATGACAGTAATGTTTTACCGAATTATCAGTTTGGGTTTAGGAAACAACGTGGTACTATGGAGCAAATTCATAGGGTGGTAAAGACTATCAGAAATTAGCTCGAACAAAAAAAAATTACTGTACTGCTGCATTTCTAGATGCCTTTATCGATTCTTATCGATAGATCGATTCTTTTAAGTCAAAAGAGGTGAGGAAATCACTAACCTGTTTCCAATTTATTCCGGAGTTCCACAAGGAAGCATAGTAGGACCCACCCTCTACTTAATATATACATCAGATCTCCCAACGACGACCAATATAACAATCGCTGCATATGCCGATGACACAGTTATCATGGCTTCAAATTCTACAACAACTGAAGCATCCAGGTAACTTAAACTAGAGAGCTGGCTTAAACTGTGGCGAGTCCAAGTTAACAGTTTCAAATCAACACAAATAACGTTTACTTTAAAAAAGGTGTCGCGCCACCAGTTTCTATAAACAACACTCCACTACCAGTTAATACCGTCGTTAAATACTTAGGAATTCATTTGGATAGCAAACTTAATTGGGGTATCCACATCTGGAAGAAACGCCTTCAACTCAGCCTAATTTACAGAAAAATGTATTGGTACATAGTCTAAAATTAAATCTTAGCCTGGAGAACAAACTTCTGATATATAAATGTATTTTAAAACCGGTATGGCAATATGCAGCTCAAATCTGGGGTACAACAAGTAATACAAACATACAAAAATTTCAACGATTCCAATCGAAAGTACTGCGCCAAATCTGCAATGCCCCTTGGAATATTACGAACCACAGATTACATCACGACTTACAGTTATCAACAGTTAGCGAAGCAATATCTGCTGTAAACTCTGTATACAAGACCAGACTATCCTGCCATCAAAATCCGCTAGCCACGGATCTGCTCAACATTTCACACGAAAGAAGATTAAAACGACCAGACCCTTTGGACCTCTAGTAAATATGCAGAAACAGAGCATAGTGTCATAGTGCGGTGAAATAACAAGTTTTTATTTTGGTGTTTTTTAAATCTTTTCTTTATTTTTTTTCCATTTTTTTTAGTCTTGTAATACTTATATGTGTGTCAGTGATGTTTATCTGTAATAAACTTTGTTTGTTAATTTGAAGTATAAATTAACTGTTATATCATATATTATATTTATATTATGTTTTACCTGGGTGCTTGCCACTGGGCGGCTTCCCACTATGTTATTGTACATAAATTATACATATTGCTTATTGTTTGTAATGAGATAGATTGCAATAAACATTGGATGTTAAATTAAAAAAATTATTGACAAAAGTCGAGCATATTTGCCTAAGTCTGCTTACCTAAGATTCCAGATATTCGATGTTTGTGGTTATTAAAACAAATAACGTGGTAGGTTATTTTTATTATATATAAGAATTAAATAAATAACAACAAACTTGCGATTGGGATCACCCCAAAATAGATTCAAAATTATAGAAACTAAACACCAACAGTCATATTATATGGATAAATCATCCTTATATAAAATTAGGTCAGTTTAATTTAAATTGTGTATTTCTAGGTTCGCATAAAAAAGGAGGGGGAAAAGAACACTATTCCAGTCACAAAGGAGAGAAAGGCGAGAAGGGAGATAAAGGCTACAAAGGACATCACCACCACGAAAAGGGAGAAAAAGGACACCACACTAAAGAAAATCATGAAAAAGAATACGAGGAGAAAGGTGGCGAAAAGAAAAACCATCATCACGATGACGGATATACGGCAGAACACCACAAGGGAGAAAAAGGAGAAAAGGGATCGAAGGTAAGGATCTGTTTTTTCTTTTTTTTTTTGCTGTTTTTTACAATTTATTTGTCTGATTTTAAGTCTAATTTGTAAGGATACAGTGTCATCTTTAATAGTGTTTTCTAGAAAAAACAAATACTACCGCACACTTTTGATACCAAATAGTAAAGCCGTCCAAACCAAAGTCCAGCTATCAAAGTTGTACATTATATGTTTTATTTCAGTAATACATTCGATAAACGTTTTCTTCTGTGAATCGATGACAATATCATCAGCATATTATAAACAAGCAATGTTGGGAGACCATAAATTGTGCAAATGCCTTTTGATGTAATCATTGGTCCTATGATATGACTATTCGAATCTATACGTTTCTGTCTTTATATACATTTGATAGTAAATATGCCATGGTATATCACATAGTATATTTAAATCAATATTGTCATAAGCACTTTTTATGTCGATAAACAAGGCACCATATGTCATGGAATTGGAAAATCCAAATTAAACATCTGTAGTCAGACGAACGACTGCGTCTGTCATACCACAGCCTTGTTTGTAACCAAATTGTGTTGCTGGTAGTATACTTTACCACCTTATCCAAGATTCCATTCTTAATTTTAGAATTCTTTCGAATATTTTAAAAATGATAATCTTCATTTTTTCTGGTTCTAGAATTAATGTAACAAATGAATCATTAAATTTGTAAGAAGGTATTCCAGTTTGCAAGATACAGTTATAAGTATGCAGTAATCTTTTGTCTAACATACCCATTTTTTGTAACATAATATACGAAATCTAATATGGGCATGCGGCTGTGTTTTTGAATATCTTAATAGTATATTCCAGTTCGGATGATTTTATTTCTTTTAGTCAATATTGTTCTTCTATAAGTATACCTCGTGAGGTGTACTTATGTTTATCATCAAAAGATGGACATAGCTTCTGTAGAATATCTTCTGCGACATATTTGAGCTGACGGGCAGCTGGAGTTAAGACTAGAACAAAATGAATCCATGTGCTTCTGGCTTTTTGTTTAAACATTTTTTTAGTTGAAGCTTCTATCTTTTTATATTCGAGAAATTTATTCAGAGTGGATGAAGTTTTGTACATTTTAAGCGCATTCTTCTTAAGCTGTAACTGTGTGTCACGTCACATTCATTATTCCACCTAATCGATGTTTGGCTATGTTTAGGAATGAAGAGTACGTTTTTAGGGAAAGAAGCTTCGGCACTTGTATTGATTGCTTTATTTAGAGTAAGTGCCATTTCATAACAATTACGAGAATATACAAGAATGCTCTGGAATAATTGCCAGTTGGCCTTTTCTAAACTCCATTTCCTTGTTGGATAGACAATTGTAGAAGTTACATCAATATTTAATTTAATGGAAATAATATAATGATATATAATCAGATCCAAGAGTTCTATCCAATATTTGCCAATGACCTACTGCAGTTAATCCAGGAGTAACTAACATTATGTCTACAACTTATTTTGTGAAGTTTGGAGGAGTAATTTTGGTTGCTGAATCATCACTTATAATTATTAAAGTCGTATCAGCTAGTGCCTCAATTATCCCATTGCCATGAGTATAATTCTTTGGAGAACCCCACGCCGCATAAGAGCATTGAAGTCGCCGCCCAGTATCGTCTCTCCTTCAAGTGGGGAACACCAATTAAAAAGCCGTTCCCATTCCCGGCCTTACATTCTTCTCAGCTTTATGTAACAAAATAATATTAATTAATCTACCATTTAAATTAATTCGTACACCACACATTTCTAATGTTCTATTTACAACATCCAATATTTTTTAATTGTTCATCCCTATGCCTAAAATATAGCTAAACCTCCAAACCTGTGACGTTGACTATCTTTTCTAATAATATTGAATCCTCTATATACAATATTGTGTTTTGTCTTATAACAGGTTTCAGATAAAATTGCAATGTCAATAACACTAGAATACAGAAACTGTATTAGCTTGCGTATTAGATCAGTACATCGACTATCCCATTTAATTAAATTTAAATTATTTAAATTACATATTACGAACCAGTGATGTGGATAAATTTTTAAATAAAGATCACTGTGTAAACTGTCCTTACAATTTAAAACATTTGAGAGAAAGCTTAATATTATTAGAAATACCTTCATATATTTTTTCTTAATATTGATTCATATACATTGGTTGCTTAAAGCGTAAATCTTTCATTTCTTTTTAAACAACATGTCGGTTTATACGCCGGCGGAAAAAGTTCAAATAATAAAATGGTAATTCTGGACAACAGTGTGTAGATTTATTTTCTGTGTTTCTTTTTTGAGAGGATACCAATTCCTTGCGTACAGTCAATTTATAATATTGTTAAAAATTTTGAGAATTGTAGTTGCCTCAAAAATTGTAGAAAATGTCACGCTCAAGAAGTGTCGTCAGAAAAAGTTAAGGAAAGAGAGTACTGAGATACACAAATTTATGCAACAATCGAGGTAGATTGCAGAGAGTTAGATATTAGCAATATTACTGTAACGAAAGTACAGCACGGTTACAAGCACGGTTACAGCGAAAGTAAAAAGCACGGTTACAAGAATTTAAAATATTCGAAAACGCAGCAGCTTTATCCAGACGATTACTTTCGAAAAATGAAGCTTTGTGAAAATCTAATCTTCTTCTTCTAAATGTGCCTATCTTCCAGATTCTAGAGATGTTGTCGACCACATTGACCCATCGTATTCTATTCACAGCAGCTCGAAATAAATCAGTTGACGCATACTCTTCAGTAGACTGAAACGAGACTAATAACGAAGACTAAGGATGAACCAAATTTGATTAAAAATTAATTGTATTCACTGATGAATCTTCTGTTTTATTAGTAGGGAGACACAATCCTTCCATTTCGAGGTATTTGGCGCGGGGAAACCAGTACAGAAGTGTTGTTAACCAAACTCAACGTCCTCAAAAAGTTAACGTGTGGACTAACATTTCAGGACACCACATGATAGCTCCATTTTTTATGGAGGGCGACTTGAACAGTAGAGTATACCTCGATTTGTTACAGAATCTTCTCGCTATTCTCAATCTGCCTGATGTAAATGTGGATAGTATTTGGATTTATCAAGACGGCTGTTCAGTTCACATCGCTCGAATTATTAGGGAGTATTTAAACATTGAGGAAGTCATGGCTGCGAAATATTCGAGACTGGACAAACATGACTGTAGACGAATTATTCCACGTTGTAAAAGACAGAGAAGCTTTTAAAAATGTGGTCGCCAACCTCCGTTAATGGGGACGGCATAGGAAGAAGATTTAAACAATACTTTTCCGACTCGAGTTATCAATGGAGCAGGTGATATTAAGTGGACTGCGCAATCTCCAGATCTTATGCCTATGGACTAAATATAATATATTGTCACCAATACACAAAATATAAAATACATCTACTTTATTTAAAAGTTTAAGCGAAACTGTTTCATACACTCATAAACCCATTAGATTTAAGTTTACCCAAACATTCTGATTTTAATTTTCTTGAAGTAATAATTTGTGGAGTTAATCATTGTTTCAAAATATGCATATTTTTCCACTCGTTCGACATTGGTTCCGCCTATTATAAGACTCTCGTTGCTTCTTTGAGTCTTTGATATTCTCCTAAATTTGGCCTTTTTAACGCTCATTATTAGACAGTATTATTATCTAAACTCCGCTATTCTGGTCACCAGTCTCATAAGATCTTCAATATTTTCCGCTGTGATGACAGTGTCATCCGCATATCTAATATTGTTAATGAAAACTCAATTTACATTTACTCTAACTGTTTCATACTCAAGGGGTTTTTTTAGGATCTCTTCTCAGTAGGCATTAAAAAGGAATGTCGATAATACGCATCCCCATCTCAGACATGTCTGATTTCAATTTCGTTTGACAGCTATTAATTAACAGATACTTTTGCTCGCTGATTGTAGTATAAATTTAGTATGATCCTAAGGTCGTTATAGTATATCTTCTTTCAGGACATTAATTAATTCAATAATAATTGTTCATGTCGTACTATTTCACTATGTAGTTGTATTGTATCGAGTCTCGAATCGTCTCGAATAGTATGGAGTTATTGTATGGGAATCCTGGAAAATGAACTAAATCAAGAAACCAACTACTTGAAAATCAAGAATTTCACTGATTTTGAAATTTTTTTGTGATAAAGCATTCTTAAAGAATAAATTATTTTCAAGGGCAAGGTTTTTTGAATGACTCTCTATTAGTATTGCATTTCAACGTTTCTATTCTGTGATTCGTTTAGTGTTTAATAGAATATTGATATTGTTAACTTTTTTGACAGTACCATGAAGAAGGTAAACACTCAAAAGGACACAGCACCAAAGGAGAACATAGCATCCATAAAAAAGACGAGTACGAAAAGAAACAAGAATTCTATGATGAAAGTCATGAAGAAGATGGATTTGAAAAGGATGGAGAATATTTCCATGAGGATAATTATAAAAAAGTGAGTTTTACTATTTTAACACTCAACTTAAATGAAAGATAGTACGTCTTTAAAGAATAGGACAACGTTGCAATCTAACTGTGTTTTATCAATTTTTTAAAAAGTATTTTGTCAATTAATTTAATCTAATTTTCTGTTTAGGGAGGCCATGAAAAAGGCAGCTACGATAAAGGTGGCGAAGAAGAATCCCATTACGGAAAAAAACACCACCATGACAAAGGTGGGCACTTTAAAGAACAGAAGGGATACAAAGGCTCCAAGGGACACGATTCACATCATGAACACGAAGAAAAACACGGTAAAAAAGGAAGTGACTCCGGTGGAAAGAAATGGTCATATGGAAAAGGAAAAGGAGGTGGTGGAGGAGGAGGGGGACATAAGCAGGGACATTTACATGAACAAGCTGATGAAACTCACAATCCTATACGTGTTGTTCAGCCGGAAAACCTTCATATAAAAGATGTAGTCAATGAAGCAGCTCCAAGGTTAATTTTAGAGGAAAATAGTCGATATTTAAAAGAACCGAACGTGTTATATCCCCCCTTAAACAGTTTACCTCTGAATCGAAATTATCCCGAAGTAAATAGCTCTAAACGTAAGAAACATCACCATTTACGAGAACCTCATCCGATATTACCTAGTTATATAAAGGAAAATCAGTTCATTCCCATTGTAAGTCCTATACAACGAAGGATGGATGATGTAGCTGAAGTAGAAGATTCACCGGAAAGTTCCAAAGAAATCTCCGTTCAACAAAGAAAATTTGATGACGAAAAACCGTTTATAGAAGAAACTAAAGAAAATACGGATGAATCTGATGACGAAAAACCCGTTATAGAAGAACCTGAAGAAAATACCGAAGAATCTAGTTTAGTCAAAAGTGTTCCAACGACAGATCAAATCGTTCCTTCTAGTGTTCCTAATTTCGAAGACCATGAAGATCTTCTAGTAAAACATGAAACACTACTTAATAATATGTTCGAAGAAACTGAGCCAGTTAAGACAGCATCAACTAAAAAGAATAATAAGATGATACATATGTTTGGAAACGATGCGGAAAGCTCAGTAGAATATGAGGATCTATTATTGCCAGATGGTTCTATAGAATCGAACGAAGAATTAGGATCTTATAGCATTTATAAACTAGGAGACTACCGGCAACCGGAGAATGTTACTACGGCATTAACAGTTGCCAAGGAAGAAGAAGAAGAAGAAGTAACTACTTTTGAGCCGCTTTCTACAACAATTATAAATACAGGTAAGAAAATAAAGGCAAATAAATTGTCACATAACTAGTATTTTTGAAAAATGAACGAACTAAGTTTTAATACAAGAAATGATAACGTTATACAAACTTGCAAAAAGGATTCTCTGAAAATACAGAACACAATGCCATTTCCTATACTTTAATTTTATAATTGTAAATTCATTCGTTGCAAATCACCGCATTAACAGATTTTTCGCAACCCTGTATAAAATTAGTGTTAGAAATTTTCTAATTAGGTACTAATTAAATAAAATTAATAAGAACTGTTCTGTGATATTTTCATTCAATGTAATGATTTATTGCTATTTCTCGTCTTTATTATTTCGTAGTTTAGTAAATAATTTTAATTGTTTTAGTTAATGAACCTGAAAAAAGCGAAACCCGACCTGTAGTCTTTCAAGAACCTTTGAGCACGTCCATGAGGCCCATTGTAGTTATGGAAGAAGCGGAACGTTAAATATGTGATATATAGAACGCTATATTTATGTTTTTACTTAGTATTGTTATTTATGTTATTTTGTTAATTGTTTTTGTTGTAAGACTGTTTTACCATTAAACCCTTTGAGAATTAGTGAATTTAGACCTTTGAAAAAATAATTCAAGAACGTTTTAAGTAATAAAATCAGTTCTTCATAATAGAATCAACTGTTATGCAAAACCGGACAACAATCAACAATCCATCGTTTAGGTTTTTAAATTCTTATAAGATGTTCTATTCATGGTTAAAAATAAATCTTTTTATTTCTTTACCAATAAAACCCGTTCAAATTAGCCAGTACCTACGCCTTTGCAAAATTCTTGATACAACTTCATAGTAGTTTAATAAACAAGTTGCATTTTTATAACATAACCTAAGCTAAACAAGGATAGGATAGGGATACACAATACACAAGTTTAATTTTATTTTTATAAACCATGCTTTAAATTTGTGATAAAACTAACAATAATAGTGTGAAAAGGGAATTAAGAAAAATGGATAAGGTGTTAAATTCATCAAAGTAAGCTAACCTTTCAGTACTACTACAACTATTCTCTAAGCCTGTTAATTTTAGAAACTTTGACTCAAAACGGGAAGACTATTTAGAATGGGAAGAATATTTTATGGCTACTGCTTTCTTGGCAGCCAAGCGAAGCAAAGATCCTTGTTCTCAAGTTGGTGCTTGTATAGTTAACGAAAATAACGTTGTTGTTGGAATAGGTTATAACGGAATGCCCAAGGGATGTCAAGACAATAATTTTCCATGGGGTAAAATGTCAGACGATCCTTTGCTCAATAAATATATGTATGGTAAGTCAAAAATGAATACTGTTAGAAATATAATACTGTTAAGTCAAGAAACTGTTTATTTTTAGTGTGTCATGCAGAACTGAATGCTGTACTTAACAAAAACAGTGCAGATGTGAAAAATTGCATCTTGTATGTAGGTCTTTTTCCTTGCAATGAATGTGCTAAAGTTATTATACAATCCGGTATAAAAGAAGTTGTTTATTTATCTGATAAACATTGCCTTAAAGCAAGTACAATCGCCTCAAAGAAAATGTTTGATGCTGTTGGTATCAAATATAGGTAAGTATATCTTGAAAAAGAAAGGAAGGAATATATACAACTTACATTATACACAGAGCTAACAAGTATGTTTGTGCTAATATGTACAAATATATTGTTCTGAAGCTATTTTCTTGTGGCATTGTAAATTAATTACTATTTATAACTGGGAATAAGCCACAATTAAAGATAAAAATACGTTTATTGACGTTTCAATTTCCAATTCGGAAATCGTTCTCAAAATACAAATAGTCTATTTGTATTTTGAGAACGATTTCCGAATTGGAAATTGAAACGTCAATAAACGTATTTTTATCTTTAATTGTGGCTTATTCCCAGTTATAAATAGTAATTAATGTACAAATATAGCAAGTTTTGCTAACTTTGTGTTGTTGCTTCTCACCTCCTATGCACCATCGTTTCTAGTAGTTCCAGTCAGCTTTCCGGAGTCCTCTACTTTCCATTTTCATGTGCATATTTGAGATCCACTTTTTTCTTCAGCTTCCTTGTTTGTTTCTTTATGATGGTTGTCGAGTTCCAAACTTTAATGGTATTCTTTCTTTATTTGTTTGTCATAGGTACCATTTTAAGTGTTTTCAACCATATTATCCATTATTGTGTTTTCAAATTTCATTCTTTCCATATTTTGTAAGTACTACATTTATATTATTGAAAAAATGAATTACGAACATTAATTATGCAATTAGAGTGACTAAATAATTATATTTCCTTCAGTATCATGGTCAGGTCAGTTTAAAAATTATTTTTAAAAGAGACTGGTCTAGTTATCCATGTTGGAGTTTGGTTAAGGTTTATAAAATAAAACACAATTGTTATGAAATTTTTGATATATTCCACATTCAGAAAGGCATATCAGTTATGTTTAGCTGTTTCTCAGAAACTGAATTGTAGGATTCTTCTCTCAACATTCTTATTAAAATGTTATATCAAGAGTGTTGTTTGTTTTTCTCCATCTTTACTGAATGTATTTCTTATTGGACAGTTTCCTTTAAATTTCACATTAGAATTGAAAAAATCAATCTAGTTGTTGCATAACTGAATGAAATCAGCATCATTATTACAAGAAGACATTTTTTTGATGTCAGTCCGTTTCTCCAACAATATTTAATTGCTTTGTTTTTCATATTAGATAAAAGTTTAGCAGCAGCATAAATGTTGTTCTGTAAATGTATTAGTTAGTTTAAGAGCTAGTGTTACTTAATTCTCAAGTAGATATATTATAGAGCTTATATAGAGCTTTATCTTGAGGTCAGTGTACATAAATTACCACTTTGTAAGCACCATTAAATAACAAGAAAGTCTGAATTAACAAATAATTTATATCATTAAATTACAATGCATAAAAGAGCACTGTATTCAAACAAAAAACTAAAAATATAAAGTTTCCAAGTGATTTCTGTTTATTCTGTATATCTTGTACAACTTTTAAAAGTAAAAAAAACTTTTTGTACTACTGGTAAACCTTGAGCATGCTGCAGAGTATTTGGTATGGCTTATGAAACAGGTTGCACCTGGTAATACACTGTCATTCCTGTCAATCTGTGATCACTTGTTTAAGTTTCATTGAAAAAATGCAAATGATTAGATGGGGCAACAAGTTAACCTCAAGTTTTTTTTCAGAGGAATTTGTATTGCTCAGACAAGATTTTGTGTGGTTAAAAAGTATAAAGAGGGACGTCAGACCTCAAGAAGATTCTCAAAGACCAGAAAAATCCTTGCTGAGAAAAATATACTTTAAGTGAACACATTATCAGGATCTAGTCAAGTGGTTGTAGGGAGCAATCTAGCAGGGATATAGGTAGATTGACGCAATTGCTGGAATTTTTTAACCCGTTCTATGGTTATGTTATTTTATTTTCGCCTGAACTTCAGTATGTGGTTATCTATTAATTATCATCATTTTTGTGATGTTGATTTATGATGTCCGCTCTTCTCTTCCACTATATTAAACACATTCATTATCTCTTGTAGTTCCTCTATATTGTCCTCTATATCATCAGTGTATATTAGATTATCAATAGGAATATCATTTATTTTGATACCTTTTTCATACTGTTGTGCAAGCTCAAATATCTTTTCTACATAAATTTGGACAGTAGTGGTGAGAGAATATAACCCTGTCTCATGTCTTTGTTAATTTTCATTTGTTCTGTACTGGTACAATCGGTAATTTTTAGTTCTACTTTTTGATTCCAGTATAGTATTGTTTGTATGTCTTTACTATTGAGCTCAATTTCATTTAACGTGTGTATCATTAGCTCATGCGTTAATTGTCAAATGCCTTTTGGTAATTAATGAACCAAATGAAGACATGTTTCTTTTTTTATCACATAAGGTAAAGTCGTACCATAAGAATATACAATGTATCAGAGGGTAAAGAAATATGATTTGATAGTGTAGAAGAAGTAAAAGCAAAAGCGGTGGAGGTTCTCAAGAAGCTGGAAGGACGGGACTTTCAGCAGTGCTTTTAACAATGGAATATTCGGTTACGGGGTTGTGGGAATTGACGAGAAGAGTACATTGAAGGAGATAATTGTTCTCATGTAATTGGTTTTTTATAAAATATTTTGCAGCACCAGTCCGATTATTATATTGCCACAGCTCATAAAATTTAAACTAACATAATCAAACACACACTTCCGGACAAAATTATTGCACCACTGTTTATTTTGTTGGGTAAATGATAAATAAAAAGCGATAAGAGTAATAAAAATAGTTTAATTATCATTATATCAGTTATTGATAATTTCTTGTTTTTAATTTTTCGTTGATCGCACCTTTAGCAAATAGTTTCGTCTGTAGCGTTGCCCATGTCACACAATAATTAGCAGAGTATAGCAATTTTTTCGGAAGACCTAAACGTACAAGAAATCCAGGACAAATTAGACATAGAGCACTTATGAAAGAAGTGATATTTATTTGAGCTTCAATGTTCTGAGAACCAGAACTTGTACCAGCCGTACACGTAAGTCATTTAATTAGAGAAGTATGTCGTTTCTATATTTCAAATCATGCAGTTAGAAGCAAACTTGAATAATAGAAGGCCTGCTAGAGGCCCTCTTCTCGCCACATAATACCGTGTTAGCAATTTAAGATTTGCTAGACAAGACGTAGGATTGAATGTACTTGATTGGAAGCGCGTATTGCTTACAGACGAGACCACAATTGAATTGTGAACATCAGATGCCAGTCTAAAACCAGTAAAAGAGTAGGTGAATGATATGCCAAACATGCATTTATCTTCTCTTCCAAAAGGAAGACGTTTGCTGGAGGAAGTCTCATGTTTTAGAGAGGTGTAGCCTGTACGAGGTAGTACTTATATCTAGACCTGTTCTCAATGCACACAGGTAGGTGATGGAAATTCTTGATGGACATTTAGTTAAATTTGCACCATTTATATAATTCTTGGTAAATCGATTATTTCCGCTTTTCTCCTTTACAAGGGGGGCTTTTAGGGAGAAGTTCGGGGTAGGAGTTGTAAACTTTTTTGCATCTTTTTTGGGGTCCTAAAATTGACTTCTCAGCAAAATTCAGCTTGTTCGTATGATTTTTAGAGTTCAAATCTCTGACGTCTGAACTATTTGCAGAACCGATCCGATTATTTTATTGCCACAGCTCACAAAAACAACTAAGAAAATAAAATACACACTCCCAGGCAAAATTATCCTACCACTGCTTAATTTGTCGATAAACGATAAATAAAAGGAAATAACAGTAATAAAAATTGTTTTTAATTATTGTTATATCAGTTATTGATCATTTCTTAATTATTTGAATTGGATCAAGCTGCTCATAATACGACAGAAAACGAACGACACGAAACCTTCCAAAATTTAATAAGAGAAATAATTGCAATCCTCTGTATCTCATTAGAGATATAGCCTAGCGCTTGGAGCTATTGAGTTGTTTGTTTGAATTCAAGTTGAAATTCTTTAAAAATTGAAAATTATTTTGCAAACAAAAAACTTGTTGAATGATAAGTAATTTTTTAATTGTATACAGTAAAAAATATAGTAAAAAAACATTTATTTTCTCCCGACTTAAAATAAATAAATAAACTTTTAAAACAAGTGCTACTTTTTTGTCTATGAGTGTATCATATACTTTTCGAAACACCAAACGAAAAGAAAATACCGCAAACGAAAGACTATTCTATTATTTTTACATTTTTAGGCAATTTATTCCAAAACACTCCAAAATTGTGATAGATTTCAATGAAATAAATGAGAATCCTATGACGCAACTTCCTGAAACCCCCATAAAAGATGTCAAATGTCAAAAGCAACTTGTAACGGAAAATAAAGAAATGTGTAATAATTTAGAAAAAATACTTTTATGACAAAAGCCTTGTTTTTTTAAGTGGCCAAAAAAAAGAAGGACATCTTTTATATCATACAGTGTGTACAAAAAGTAATATAATTTGGATAGTATACTTAAAGTATCAATAATCTTATTTTTAAAATCGTATAACCCTAAAACATTATTTACGAATATTTATTGCGAAATTAAAGAGCAGAATTAATTAGTTTTGCTTAATTAGATCCTCAAAGTGCCTTACTTATCCTAGTTGATAGTATATCCGATTATAGTAATAGCCACGTAATCGTAATTTCTGCTGCGATCACCACAACTCACCAGAATCCTTTTCCATACTAACCGAGTCTAAAAAAGTAAATAAAATATGCATACATTTGTGAAGAATTTTCCATTTGGAGTTTTCTCCATGTTCCTTTAATAACCCATTGAATGAAATCTCTCGTTATCTTACTTTTAGTTCACACTGGACGAATGACATAAAAGATAGGTAATGTCATTTTCTTGTAATCCTATACTTAAATCAGTGAAATCGCTTTACATTTGTATCGAATCGATTATACTTACATTTGTAATATTTATAATAAAATCTGGTGTTGATTATTTTTAGAATATAATGTTGAACACCTTGTTTCTTTTCCTCTGTATCCCTTATCCGTCGAGACAAAGATTTGCTTCGAAAGTTGCCTTTGTGAAGTGAATCACAAGGGTACGTGTGAGAATATCACGTCACACGGTATAAAAAAATGAAAAAATTTTGCCTTCCGGAGACAATGGAAACATAAAACTTATCAATGGGTGAATTACAGAGATTAGTTTTGTTAGACCGATTGAAAGTCCAAACGATATTGGGATATTAAAATGAATTGGGCACTACTCTTTAATAGTTTACCCACGAGAGGAAACGAGCTCAGACGAAGAAATAAAATGAAACAAAGCTAACCTTTATTATTTTGTAACAAACAAAAATTTATTAAAAGATTACGTCGTCCCAGAAAAGAAATGAACAGTCCGTGTTTAACCACACCTTAATCACTGCTGCCACAATTTTTGTTTTTGTCATACAGTCAAATCTTTGCAGTTTAGCCTTACATATTGCCCACAAATTTTCAATAGGATTAAGGTCAGGTGAATTCCCAGGCCAATCAAGAAGGGTAATATTATTATCCTTGAAGTATTTCATCATAACCTTCGATACATGGCACATAGCTGAATCTTGTTGAAAAATTGCAGTTCCTTCTCTTCACGTCCCTTCTCGGCCCCACGGACTTCTCCCTCCTGCGTACCGTTGAGTCGTGAATTTTTATTCCAGCCTTTTCTAAATCTTGCTGGAGGTCATAACTTGTTTTTCTGGGATGAAGTTTGCTATCACGCAAAAGAAAGGCTTTATCTCGAGGAGTAGTCTTCCGTTTTCTTACACAATACTCCTTTGCAATGTCCCTCTTGAGTTATTGGTGTATGCTCACTAAGTTATATGATCCTTTCTCTTTTTCTAGGAGTGATATCCAGTGTTGCCAGGTCGTAAAAAAATATTGCATGAGAAATAATTCCAGAAAGCATAAGATTTAAAAATAAAAGCATGAGATAAACGATTTGCAGGTTATTTGTTACTAGCCGAATTTATGTCGTGAAATTCAGTATAAAATGAGCAATACGAATACGAACACTTGTTTGGCACACTTACCGTCTTACAAACTAAAGATACCCATTATCGTTTTCGGGGATTACCCGACAGGAATAATCAAATTACCACACATTCAAAGCGCGACCTTGCCATTTATTTATACCATTAAGCACGATCGACAATGCTGTGAAATGCTGGGTTTCAGTTTCGTGGTAAAAGTGTTTATTCATTCTCATACATTATACATTCCTTGTTATTGGGTTGAAAATTTTTAGTGACATAAGCAAAATTTGTTTATGCTCACTTTGTTATCTGTAGTTTACAAATAATGTTTAATATGCTCTTTTTTGTCACTATGTCTATAAGCTGAAAAGCATGAGATTTTGCAATAAAATCATGAGAGCATGAGGTTTGATTGGAAAACATGAAATCTCATGCTTTTGCATAAGACCACCTGGCATCATTGGTGATATCCATATTCAAAAGTTAAACCTGATTGCACAGTTAAATCAATGAAAAGCACGTGATTTGAACAATATAATACTAAGGTTATGTTGTTTTTTTTGACAAAACAGTTGACAGAATAGGCATAGCAGGTGTGCCAACTTATGAAATACTGTAGTTCTGACAACTATTAAGGCTCCCTGTAAGGGTCTAAAATAAATATTTATTTAAAAAAATAAAGAAGAAAATGAATTTTTCGGCTTACCTTTTCAAAAAACCAGTCAAACAAAATTTCTCCTGTCAGTTGGACGTTCAAAGAGAGAAAGGGACATGAATGGCGGGGTGTTTACGAACGCTTGAATTTTTAGGCCAATTTCGGAGCTATTAGGAACTGCAGTTGGATCCTTGAGGTAATTTAGATGCACTCGGTGGATAGATGACGTGAGAAACATTGATTTGAATATTTACTAGGAATTATAATAACACATTTTTGAAAAATGATTTGAAACTTTTGAAATCAAGGTTTGATTCGTGGAGAGGGAGCCGGGTAAAAGACTACCACAACCAATGAAGGCAGCAGATTACCTAGTTTCTACACGGGAGATAGAGACGAAACATAACGATACGGGACTCATCCGAGGCTCCGTAATCGGAACGAGTGCACTCTAAATCCTTTAACGAGAATCAATTGGAGAACAAGTCTGGTTATACCAGCCGCGGTAATTCCAGCTCCAATAGGATATATTAAAGTTGTTGCGGTTAAAAAGCTCGTAGTCGAATCTATGTCCCACGCGAGCCATCGTACGCGGGTGTCAACTATCGTGTCGAATATACTAGGTAAGATATGGGCAGCTCTGTGAATAGGGGTGAAAGAACAATATTTCCTTGAGTGGTCTAGCTATATTTGTCTGTCATATAGGCGGGAGTAATGAAACGCAGGAGGTAATAAAGAGAGATATATAGACCACCGATGGAGTGCTCCTCGTTTCAGTATTTTGCTGACGAATCCTAGTCTACTCTTATTATATTCGCTCCGAGGGTTAACAAAGTGTCAAAGCAAAATCGACTGACCTACTCATGGTGGCGATTGCTTGAAATTTTATCAGGACGCTTTTGTGCATGGTATAATAAACATATTCATTGTACCATGGATGTTGATCATGTATATATAACCTCACTTTCGTAGATTATGTTAATAAATCTTTATTAACGACAAAAAATATTTTTGTTGAACTATAAATGTCACTATAAATAGATAACTAATTAATTCTAAAAATTGTATCCGGATATTAACACTACAAAATAAAATATTTAAGTTTAACAAAATAATTCCATATGCCTCAATATTAAAACGTCCTCACAAATCTGACAGCGTGTCACGTGACTGTAAATAGAGGGGAGCCCCACGGAACGAATACTCAGTGACATTAGAAATGTCCCAGAAGGAACAAATTCTTGAACTTCATTTTTTGGCAACATGGTAGATTTACATTAAGAATAAAACGATAACGTTGTCAAGAATTTTTATTAAAAAGTAATTAAAAAAATAATAATGTGTTTGGCGACCCCGTAGCTAAATACACTCCTGTATAGGTCTAGGCATTGACAGAATAAGTTGATCGATATCTGCTTGTGGAACCTTGTTCCAAGCAACTAAAACTTCATATATATAACTGTGCCAGAGTCTGTGGTAGGTGGTGCAAAGTGGACAGTCTCTTTCCCATCATATTCCATACATGTTGGATAGGATATATATGTATTCGGAGCACGGCGCGGCCACGGCAAAACATTAACGCCAGCTTCTTGAAAAAAGTCCGTAGTTTGACAAGCAATATGGGAATGTGCGATGTTTTGCTGAAAAAGGACGTCTCGACAGCCGTCGAGATAAGGCAGTAAAGTGGTTTGTAACATGTTATTAATATAACATGCAGCTCTCATATTGCCTCGAATAAACATAAGTGGGCTACTATAGGCAATAGCCCCCCAAACCATTACTCCAACTGTTCTGTGCCACAAGCCTATTAACAGCAAATTTGATATCTCGTCGCTCTCCACGGCGGCGTCTTACTATCCTATGATCATCATGCATTCCTAAACAGAATCGTGATCATCGTTGATTGCTGCATTACGCCATTCTGCCATCCAATGCTGCCACTCTTTGCACTAATTCAAACGTTGATGACAGTGGTCCGCAGTCAAATGAAGCACTAGTCGTGGGCATAATGAACAAGTCCAAAGGCTTGAATGCGACGGTATAGTGTACGCATACTAACAACAGGTCTACCTACTACTCCAAACCATTGGTCAGCAATTTGACGCGTAGTAGCAAAACGGTCTCGCAGAGCCAGTTCTAAAGCGCCACAGATGATCTTTTTCGTGTTACTCTACTGGTGTTACTACAGTGACAGTGCCGTGAATAGTGAACAGTGTAGTAGTGTCTGGGGGCTCGGGAGACTGAGACCTCGGAAGCCCTGAGGAAGGCATCAAAGAGGATGCCGAAAGCTTGCCAAAATGGACAACGACGCGGTTCAACCCGGAAGACTGGTGAGTTTGATATTAATTTTAGTACTTTTATTGTACTAACCGCGGAAATCTTTCCGAACATTATATATATATATATATATATATATATATATATATATATATATATTTTGTTTAAGTACTACTTTTCTAATGTATCATGCTTTCTTATACATTCTCTTTCAATTTTCTTAATTTCATTAATAATAGAGAATTTAGACCGCTTCAGCTCCCTTTTTCTACTTTTTGCATTATGTATTTTTCTACTTAATACTTCTTCCTCGTGCTTAGCTTTATAGTATTCGTCCTTAGCTTTATCATATTGACACTTCAAACTTGTTACTTTGCTAGATATTTCTTGCAATTTCGGCTTTTCTTCACTGCATTGATAATTGACTTCTTTGATGTTTTTTTCCAAATCTTGCACTTCCTGGTATAAATCTTTAAGCTTTTTGAATTTGTAACAAGTTAAACTTGGCAACCAGTAATTATCTAATAATACATATCCTGTTGGTTTTCTGGTAACATCCGAAGACTGTAAAATGAAATTAATTATATGCATTTCATTTATAGATTTAATATAAACTAAAAAATAAAAATAAACAAAATACACACCACAAGAATCAACTGTTATAGTAAGACATACAATTTATATCTAGAATCAGTCAAACAAAACACGAAAGAATAGACCATGGTATCAAAATGTTCAAGGTTTGAATCATTAACCAGTTTATTCAAACCCTTATTAAACACAAAAGTTTGTTTTACCTAAAGCTATCCGTGAAAACGTTTATTTATTCCATATTGCTATACGGAGTGGAAACATGGTTTCTCGGAATCACAAGTATGGGACGTGTATGAGAAGCTTTTGAGATGTTGGTTTTTTGAAGGATGCTGAAGATCTCTTCGACAGAGCACGTGACCAACAACGAGGTGCTGAGAAGAATGGGTACTGAAAGAGAACTAAATATTCTAAAAAACAGAAAAATGAGTTATCTAGGACATATTTAC